GCATGTGTTGTCATTAACAAAGGAAGATTGCCCAGGTAATGTGCTGAAATGGACCAAGGAAATGATCCCAAATTGCATGTGTATGTGAGAAGCAATTCGTAGAAGAGGAGAAGACGTGCCCTCACGGAATGTAACTGGAATGTCCCGTCATTTGTTCTCTAAATCAGTTCAACTACCAATGGGCCTCACTGTTAAGTGAAGCCACTAGTGAGTACTCCCAACTTAAAGGATTTTACTGTTTTCCACTTGGGGACATGATGGCATGAAACATATGTAATGCTCCTAAGTCAGGCCTGTGTTGACACTAGCTTACTTCAATGATGCCACGCTCTGCCTGCTTCTTTTTTCACCACCACAATTTCTATTCCCAACTAATTGTAAGTTTCTCATACTTGGTATTCTAATTCTCTAATCCACTAATAAATTTGAAAATTTTTTTCAGTAAGCGTCTTAAGAGACAATGTATTGGACAGCGGTGAGATTGAACATTAATTTAGCCCAAGTCACTTTTGTAATGAGGTACTTATGTATTGAGTTTTTTTCTCCTGCAAAAGCCTTTCTCATGGCTGTTTACTTTTTTTCTTAGCTACTAATGTATTTTACATTCTTATATAAATTTAAATGTCCTATTATTACAGTCCAGATGCATTTGGGAAGTGGTTGTTTAAGTTATCTTGTTGTCTGGGTTCTGTTCCCAGTATTTGGGTCAGTTTTTTAAAAATAATTCTACATAAATATTTTTCCAGAATTTTACCTTTTGCAGATAGAGAGCAATGGAAAATTAAGTCAGGAGAACTATAAGGAAAGCACCCTTTTTTGCCACAGGTACTGTGCTTGATCTATGTGATCATATAGACTGATGTGGATAGTTGAAGTTCCTTTCCCATTTGGTACACTCTCTCATTTCAGAATGCTTGGTTTGGTTTAGACTTTGAAATTGTTGAAATTAAGTAAAAACCATACTGCTTGCTGATGTAAAGTATATGCTACTTCCACTATGTTCTGAAAATTACCTCTCCATTACTACTTGTTAGTGATTTTTGAATGTCATGTTATATTTCAGTTATCCTCCTTTTCTTTCTCAACTGCAGAATTGTGTAGATCTACTTATTTTCTGATTTCTTTAGTTGCAGTCTAAAAAAATGATCACTGAAAATGTCAGTATCCTGTATCAAGTAGCTAATAATACTTTTTTCCAAAGTGTTTTGATAATCACTATGAAATCTGAGAATAATGAGAACATGCTACATTCTTCCTTTTACAAAAATTACCTTGTACTTCTGTGATCCCATTTAAGGAAATACCTATTTGTCTTTTCACTCACAACACTGCATGAAGCTTCATTTTTATTTTTGCACCACTATTTACTTGGGTGCTTCCGTCCAGTTCATTTATCTCAAGCCAGGAAGGGAAAGAGTCTTCTTTGGAGTGGTTCAATGATATTTATGCTGGAAGTTAAGGTAGACTTTGTCCATTCCTATTTACACACATTTCTAGCCTTTGTTTCCCAGACTTTTATTTTCCTACTTAGCAGCTGCCCTTCAGTAATAATCTTAGCATTCTCAGCACAATGTCCTCTGACTATTTGGTAATACCCACCTTCTTTGCCCACAAAGCAAATATGTCCCTAGGTTAATCTTGTTGAAAGCGTTGAGTAGAAATTTTATGGAGACCATATCACAGAGCCATTCCTATAGTTTGAATCAATAAATATTTCCAAATTTCTGCTTGATGGTAAAAATGCTACCATGTGCTTTTCAACACTTGTAACAAAAATGTATAACCCTATAAAGCAAGTAAATTTTTTAGCTTGAAGTACATTTTTTCCTATATACCTGCAATGTCTTGAATAGTCTAAATGAGAATTTTACATTTTCAGTACATTACAGGTCAGAACAATGACACCAAGGAAATGCAACCATAGGTAGGATGAATATATAAGTAAGCAAAAATTATCCCAGAATTCATCACCATCTAAGTAATTTCCAAATGCATTAGTTACAAATCTCTAAGCTGAATGATTCCTTAAAATTCTCCATGTCATATTGATGCTGGCAATAATTTGTCCCTAAAAAAGAAATGGATCACTTTTGCATATCAAATCTTTATTATATGGTACATGTTGATTTATTAGATTAACATTTCTTGTTGTTACCTTTGGGATTTTTAAATGATACTTTGTTACCTCCAAAACTGCACTTTTTAATGAGTGGTTGTAGATTTGTAAATATGTAACACTGAAACTTTATTTACCAAAAAGAACATCAGGAAGGTCATTGTTTTGTTTTGTAATTCATTTAAAATATATCTGATCAATGTTCATGATAAACATTTTTCTCTCATCTATAGAAAAATGGAAATTCTGTTCAGTTTTACAATGTAAAATAAAAAAAAGATTTAGCTAAAATATCAGTATAGCTATTCTTTTCTATTTTAAGCATCTTTCAGAAGTTTCACTCTTTCTCCATGGGGTTGAGAATCTTGGCTACACAAGACAGTAGCTAAGCATTAAGAGCAAAGTTATTTGATGCTAAGAAAATTACTAGTCACTTTTTAAATGTCAGCTTTAAAAGCATAACTTTTACTTATTTTATGATTTTCCTCACAGCTGACAGCAAGTTCTGTGCTTTTTTGTAAGATTTTTGAAGTTTAATTGGGCGAGGGGGTAATCAGAAGCAAACACTTTCAAGGTGGGGGACAGGGTCAAAAGAGAAAATAGAATAAACGGGAGGGAGGGAGGATGAAGGGACATATAATCAGTTTTTCACAACATGACTATTATGGAAGTGTTTTGGAGGACTACACATGAATAACCTGTTTTGAGCTGCTTGCCTTCTCAATGAGAGTGGGTGAAGAGGGAGGAAGGGAGAGAATTTGGACCCCAAAGTTTTAAAAACAAATGTTAAAAATTGTTTTTACATGCAACTGGGAAATAAGATATACAGGCAGTGGGGTATAGAAATCTATCCTGCCCTATAGGAAAAATAGAAGGGGAAGGGGAAGGGGATAAGAGAAGCGGGGGAGGGTGATAGAAGGGAGGGCATATTGGGGGAGGGGATATTCAGAATGCACACTGAGTTGGGGTAGGGGAGGGGAGAGATGAGGAGAAAATTTGGAAGTCAAAATCTTGTGGAAGTTGTGGAATGTTGAAAACTAAAAATAAATTTTTAAAAAAAGTTTTTAAAGATGTTTAAAGTTTATAGGTGAACATTTTTAATGTTATGCAATATAGCAAATAGAAATTGGTATTTTATTGCTTCCTTCTCTCTTTCGGTTTGTTAATTTATCTTCCATCAGTTTTTCAGTTAATGAAGATGATCTTCCTAATTTAGTGTAATATACTTTGGCCATGAAATCACTGCTTCTCAATTTAAAATTGTGTGGATTTTAATAGGATTTTAAGAACTCTTTAATTTTATTGACTACACAACTTCTACCCCCTCTTGTTCTTTTCTGTGTCATATAGTATGGGACTGACCAGAACTGGTCATCTCTTTTCTGAGGGAACAAAGAATAATGTTAAGAAAGCCAATCATTTGGCCAAAGGAAACCTCATGAAAAAAATTGGTTTTAATCACTTAACGAAAAGATACAGCACTTTCTAATTGCAAAATTCTTCACTATCTTATATCACATCCTTGAGGGATTTTCTGCTCTCTGGGTGAAAAATAAGTGGCCTGCCAGAGGCTAGTTATGAGAAAGCTATGAGCAATCATGTCCTAAAGCTAGAGGGTGAGTTGAGCAGCTCACTGAACTGGAAGGAGCTCCCTCCTTCCACCTTCTCCTTTTATTTTTCCTGTCAAAACATTCAAGGCAAGGTGAATTGCCTAGATTTGTGACTTCTTCAATATTCAGATGTAAGAACTGATATTACAGAAATTACATTGTGAGCATAATTACATAGCTTTAATGAGCTTCTGTTGCATATTCTGATGAACTTGGAGATGAGGACATATGGTATTTGGTGAAATGATTCACATTCAGATCTACAGTTCCTTGACTTTTTTAATTGCATAGTAGAATCCTCGGTGGAGGTGACCATTATGTGACCTACAGATCTTAGAAGATACAGAAAGTTATTGCCTCATTATATCAAAATGTGAAGTATCATTGAAAGAAACTGCACTTGTATTTTATTAGAGAAACCATATGGATGGTTTCTCTAAGGCTTATAATAAGTAATTCTTCATTTGTTTCAAAGCATTATATTTCTGGTGTCCTTCAGTGGAATGGAAGAGCATTTATTTGGCATTTACTCTGCGCCAACACTGCTAAGCTCTGGGGGCACGGAAAAACGAAACAGTTCCTGTTCTCAAAGAGCTCACATTCTGATTGAGAGAGCCAGCACATAAAAGATCATTTGCTTAAAATGGATGGAAAGGCCTATTGATCCTTAGGGTCCAACACCAAAACCAATATCAAAGACCAGAGGTCCTCAAGGTGCAATTGGGAAGGAAAGATCCTTCTGGGATCTGGAGGTTTGATTGAGGCTTTAAGAGAAAGGGTCCCTTGGAGTTGCAGTCTTTCTTGTGGATTCCACTCTCTGGTTCTGGAGCAGTTGGGAGATGCAGGAGTTTCCCTTCTTATGTTGTCATTCACTATTTAACTGTAATCAACAGTCACTCTCAGCTGCTTTTGTCTTCAATTTTGATCATAACAGTGACACTACTCAAGAGGGCTGTGCCTTTCCTGATGTACCTCATCAATAGTTTAAGTCTAATAAAAGCAGCAAGTAATAATATAAAAACTTAGCAACAAATTCCACAGAGGAGGTTTAAACTAAGAATCTCTGTATAGTCCTTTGCAACAGCATTTCCAGGCCTTTTGAGAAAACACCTCCTTTATGTTTTTCAGAATATGAAACAATAGAACCATAAGAATGGTACTTTCAGGGCAGCTAGGTAGCACAGTTGAGAGAGGACCAGCCTTGGAGTCAGGAGGACCTGAGTTCAAATCCTCACACATAACACTCACTAGGTGTGTGACTCTGGGCAAGTCACTTAACCCCAATCGCCTCACAAAAAAAAAAAGTGGTACTTTCTTGACCATATCAGAGCTCATATAGCCAAATAAATACCACCCCCATCAAACTAATAACCTTGTGAGGTTATATGTTATATATTCTAAGGATGCTGCCCAAAGCACTTTGAAAGACTCCTGTTTTTCCTTTCAGAGCCAGTTTACAAGCCAAAAAGCCATCTCAGTTCTTCATAGTCACACCTTGAATGTTTTTGTTTCTTTATTTTGTTCTTTAAAAACTAAAAAACAATGTTCCAAATTTGATTGCCCAAAGTGGTTCCAGTGATTGTTTCCAAAAATCAAATCCATCCCCAAAGGACAAAGATTTGCCACCACTCAGGATATTCAAAAGATGTGTTGGGGCTTTAGATGTTGCCAAAAGAAAAGTCCCGGAACTGTTTTCAGCAAATGGCAACAGTTAGAATAAGTGTATTGCTTCCCAAGGGACTACTTCAAAGAGAACATCACTCATTTGGATGCATAAATTCTATTACATTTGCTTTTAAAGTCATTGTCTTACTTTGTTTTCTTCCTCTCCAATATTTGCCTCACTCCCAGCACTCCTAATGTGAGAGAAAATCAGAACTTTTCATTAGTCCTGCTCCTTCCTCTTTTTTAAAGTGCTCATACTCTTAGGAGCTTAAACTTTTCCCCTTCTAAGCTAGAAATTATTGCTACATGTGGGGAACTCTACCTCACACACCTTCATTTTTAGAAAAAGACTGTCCAAATGCTCAAAGTCAGTATCATTTAAGATGAACTGATACTGGTGAACAGTGTTTGCTTCTCATAATGCTTCTTCCTACTAGTGACCTTTACCTAAATTCACAAAAAAATAATTTGACTATAAACTTGATGGGCACCTTATTCAAGAAAATGTGGTAAGAGGAGAAAGCAGAGCACAATATTTGCTCAGAGAAGGAGATATAGAAACCATGTCCACTGGCTTGACCAATCTGATTTATAGCCTAAAGAAGATTTGTGAAATTAGGAGGCTTCAGGGGTTCCTCAGATATGGCCAGGGAATAGTGTAATGGTGAAGGCTATCTTCAATAGCCCCTTTCACCTACCCCTCATTTAAAAAAATAGTTCTCTAGTTTCAATTACACCTGTATAGCATTAGTGTGTACACTACACTGGAGCATGAGGTCTGGGGGAGAGCCCTTCAGGGAAGAATATTCCGTCAACCAAGTATGAAACCAAGTCACCATCAGGCCTTTGGTTCCTGACATCGCTTACTGTCAAAACTCCCAGCCACCCTCTCAAGCAACAACGCCATGGGTGGAATTCATCCTTGGGGAAACACAGTGAGTCACAGAGGAACATCACATGTTCATTTGCTCTTCATTCAATGGCAGCCTCGAGACTGACTCAGACAGAGATGGGACAGGATATGATTCGATCTTCTAACATTACACTGACAATCAAGAATATGAAGTAAAGGAGAAACATGGTAAACCCTAGGATTTTGTTCATTCTCCATCTACAGGATGCTATTGAAGAGATCACAAACAGGAGCATGAGAAGGAGCAAAACAATTGCACAGAACAAGCCATTGCTGCTCACTGGAACAGGCCGTAACTCATTGAAGACAGAGAAGAGTAACCAAGGAACTGGCAAACTGAAAGACAAGAAGGGAGAAAAAAGGCTTTTGGATGAGTACATAGCGTGATGTTCCAGGAATGTTAACAGGACAAGACATTTTCTAGTGTATTTCTAATGCAATACCTTTCTGTTTTACAAATGAGGACACTGAGGCACAGGAAAGAGTAAAATTTCCCAGGTTCATGCGGAGCCAAACCTTGAACCCACATTTTTCTGTCCCTTAAGTTGCCCTTATATCACATTGACATTTCAAAGACAAATCAGATTGCCTGATGTAAGAATTTCGTTTACTCTGTACTTCTTAAAGGAAAGCTATGGCTCAGAATAAAAGATTTCATGGCACTCAACAATCTAGCCCCCTCTTTTTCCCTCCCAATCTACAAAGCCTGTTGGCAGACCTCAGTTATCCAAAGGCTAGTAAATGTGGCTTATTCAGATGATATGCTGCTATGTTCTGTACAGACCAGGAAAAAAGGGGGGACTGTATGTGTATGTGTGACTGTAGAAATGGTCTTATGATATGAAAATGCTGATTGTTCACTAGAGATGCAATCTGGTGCCTTGCAACTGGCAGTAATTCAAATACAGAAGAGAATTAAGAACTAAGATTGCATCAAGGGCTCTTCTGCTGAACCCAGGAATCAAAGAGCTGAGGGTTTGACCATGTTCAGTAATGGCATTTAATGGACTTCACTTTTCAATCCATCTGTAAATTCTAATCAATTCTATTTCAAGCAGCATTTTAGTTCTGCAATCTACTGTGTTCAAGAAAAACAAAGTAAAGTCACTTTATTACTTCATGTAACACAATAATGCAGATACTTCTTTTCAAAATGAACAAAGCCGAAAATAGAGGGCTGAATCCTATTGTGCCAGAGCCAAAATATATTTTTTTTATTCTGTCTTAATCTAACTTGAAAAATAATATTTCTACTTACCCAACAGTGATGTCAAATATGTTGCTGCCCACTGAGCTGGACACAGCCATGTCTCCTAGGCCTTTCCTTGCAACAATAACACTTGTAATGAGGTCAGGAATTGAGGTGCCTGCTGCTAGGATTGTCAAGCCCATAATCTCTTCAGAAATCCCAATTGTTTCACCAACCTCATGAAGAAAGAAGAATTGAAAACAAACGTGGCTACAGCTTGCTCAAGAAAGCTGGGCATCTTTAAAGCATTTATCATTGACATGCAGGCATGGTGGAGAACTGAAGATAAATAATATATGATCCATGCCTTCATGGAGCTTACAGCCTAAGGCAGAAGAGCATCCTAGCTCATTCCCTCAGCATCTATAAGGGATGGAGGTAGGGGCATGGGAGAAAGGAATGGCCACTTATTGTCTGTGAAATCACAGGACATCAGATAAGGATCCTTGTTTCTTTAGAATGGGCTCTCTAGGCTGCCACACCTGTGTCCCCACATCTCCACTGACTGCATCATCAAGGCAGCACAACCAATAACAGTTATTCTGTCTAGGATCATAGATGTAGATCTAGAAAGGGCGTTGGGGGCATTTACTCCAAGTCTTTCCTTTTACAGATGAAGAAACTGAGGCCAAGGAAGATTAGGTGACTTACCTAAAGTCACAAGGGAACTAAGTATTATGAGTGAGATTTGAGACTAGGTCCTCTAACATCAGAACCAGTGCTCTTCCCACTGTACCACAGCTACTGTGAAAGGGCCTTGTTCAGTCATTTCAGTCATATCTGACTCTTTGTGGCCCCATTTGGGGTTTTCTTGGCAAAGATACTGGCCATTTCCTTCACCAGCTCATTTTACAGATGAGGAAACTGAGGTAAGCAGGGTTAAGTGACTTGCCCATGGTCACACCATTAGTAAGTTTATGAGGCCAGATTTGAAACCAGGGAGATGTCTTCTTGACTCCAGGCCTCGTGCTCTATCCACTATGCCACCTAGCTGAAAGGGCCAGTCCTTCAAAAGTCTGTTTATTTCCTAGGGGAGAAAAATCAGTAGTTCTCATCTGTAAAGTATGATGTCAGTGGAGATAATTTTATTTTCAAGTCTTCAGAGAAAATAATGAGAATTTAGAAAATTCATTTGGGTACTTAAAACCACAACCGACGTGCCAGCATTGGCTATATGCAGGAAAAATTTGAACAGAAAAAAAATGTTGCTAGGGATTCTGTTTACTAACCTGGTGAGCCCACCACACCATGAGGTATGAGAACATGGCTATCCACAGGATGGAGCCCAGAAATGTGATCACAAAGAACTTCCTAGATTCCTGTTGGAAAGTTTTTAGAAAAATAAATGAAACAGCTTCACAAGAGTCTTGGAGGAAAGACTAAGCCATTTGGACCAAAAGTTACCAGAATTTGTGCCAGTACCTACTTGACAGGGGATGAAAGGGGTATTTTGCTAGGACTCAAATGATGTATGAATCAGAATCTTAGCACTGGAAGGAGCCCTGTAGGCCATCTGATCCAAACCTTGCCTGATTGAGAATCCCTTCCATAATATTCCCAGTGAATGATTGACTGGCCTTTGCTATTTTTAAGTTAATTACCAAACTTGGGAGGCCAAGAGTCTTAACAGCAAACAGCACCTACCAGCATAATCCAGTGATAGTTTTAAACAAGAACAAAAAACAAGTCAATAAAAACTAAAAAAAAAAATTGCTGAAATGATTTTTTTAAAGTGTAGGAAAAACATTCTTCAGTATTACAAGAAAAAAATGTACAATTGATTTTATAGCCCATAAAATGATGTCTCATATTGTATATTCAATATTGCTTTGAAAAAGTTCCAGTTATGAAATAATCATGAAAGGAAAGATCTATTGTGTTCATCCCCTACATTCTCAAACTCCCACCACCAATGCCAAGTAAGTACCCAAAGAGAGACATTGCAATGTGACTAAGACTGCCTCTTAGAATACTATGGCATGACAAATCTATTACTTTTAAAAGGAAGACCACAAACTGATATTCAAATAGATGCCCAAAAACTTAATCACAAAAGGACTTTGTAATTTTAAAAGAAAAAAGGAAAACATTTTAAGGCAATTTTTCTCCTCCTAAAAACTTTCAGTTGGTGTTTTGAAATATTCATAACCACACACATTAAATGTCTCAAATTTAATTTAACAGAACAAAATATAAAACTATGCTCTTACCCTCTCAAAAAAAAAAACCAACCTCTTCATGAAGAATCATGGCAAAAATGTCATTACTCCTTCTAAACTTTCACTTTCAATATGATAAAAGGCTTGAGCTTTCCTTAATTTGCAAACCACCTAGGAATCAAAAGATTTCTCTGGAATTTTACAAAGTTCTGTATCCTATTTTCTTCATCATTTGAATATAATATTTCCTCTGTAGACTCCTTCAGAGGTTAGAGAGAGAGCTTTGGGGGTGCAGAATAATATAACGTGCTTATTGTCACAGTGAATTAAAGCATACAAGTCATTCTATGACAACTCAAACTTACCAAGTAGATAAGATATTAGACATCCAATGCATAAAGTAAAATTTTAAGCCATGTAGACCAAAGTTGCCTTATTTTTCCATTAACCATAAGGGTAACAAGAGATAAAGACAACAGTACAATAATGGGGGCATTGCATCTTCTGTATTTGGAGATGTCACAGCAAACTGTCACAAAGTCACCAAAAAAAGTCATCATCATCCCTTAGAAAAGCTAAGACCTACCTTGGGTTTTGCCATTGCCCGAGGGCAACCTGAAATCAACTTCATCAGTCTTTTTGTGTAATCTTAGTCTCCTCTCGAACCAGGATACAAGAGTATGATTACAGCAATTGTTTTCTCACCTAGACTTTGCTTCTACAAACCCCTTAATAGCAGCTTCTTCAAAATCAAGACTGATTCATCCAAACAGTTCTAAACATTTTTCAAGGCTTTCTAGTCAGTTTGTTTCTTGTCAGAATCCTAAAGCAACTCACTGGTGTTAGAGAAATGCCTATCTCCAAAGAATGCTCTATCCACAAACAAGGGGGAAAGATGTGAATGCTGCTGTACATGATGACATTTCCTACCAATGAAAACGCCTTTCTTCTTACCATGAGTAAGCATGAACCAAAGCAGAGCAGTCTCTCTAAATTCTTATTTAGCTGTGATACCACCATATCTACAAATTGCTCTCAACTTTTTCCTAAAGAATAACTACCTTGGTATATACTAGGACTGTGAGAATAACTGATTATAAGCCCATAAATTTAGAGCTGGCTTCAGAGACCATCTAGTCCAAACTTTATTTTACAGATGAAGAAACAGAGGCCCAGAGAGTGACTTGCCCAAGTCACACAGGTAATTAATGGCAGCATTAGGAGTAGATCTCAGGTCCTCACTGCAATCTAGCATGTTCCATGGTACCATAAGATCTCTCTCAAATTCTGTCTTTAAAGGCTAGCCACCTCCAGAGAGAGAATTGATGAACTCTGAGTGTTTTATTTTGTGTTTTCTTTCGCAATATGGCTAATATGGAAATATGCATGACCTCACATGTATAATCAAAATCAAAGTGCTTGCCGTCTCAAGGAGGGGGGAGAAGAGTGAGGGAGGGAGAGATTTTGGAACTCAAAATTTTTGTAAATGATTGTTTAAAAATTCATTTACAAGTAATTGGGAAATATTTAATGAAATAGAAATAGCTTTTTTAAATAAAGTGTTTCTTTATATTGAGCTTAAATATTCCTCTCTGCTACTTCTACCCATTGCTTCTAATTTGGTCCTCTGGGGCTAAGCAGATTGACTCTAATCAATTTGCCAATATAGGCCTTCCTTGAAGACAGCTATCATGTCTCCCCTAAGTCTTCTCTTCTCCAGGTAAGCATTCTCAGTCCCTTAAAACAGTCATATGGCATATTCTCAAGGCCTTTCATCACCTTGGTCATCCTCCTCTAAACATCCTCCAGCTGCCTCCCTAAATCACAATGGCCCAAAAATACAGTACTTCATCCATGAACTGACTAAGGCAGAACCATAAGCAATGAGTGGAACAATCACCTCCCAAGTTCAGGATACCGGACCTCATATGTTCTTCTGGCTGCCATATTATATTATTGACTCATAGAGAGCTTGTAGTGCAATATAAACCACAGACTCTTTTTCACATTAATGATCATCTAGCCCAGGGATGGGTAACCTGCAGTATGTTCTGTGAAGTTTGGATTTGGTCAAAGGCCTGCACTTGAGTACCTGGACCATGTGGCCTCGAGGCCGCAGGTTCCCCACCCCTCGAGCTGCACTTCTTCTAAATTCTATTTGAGAAGATTTTTTTTTAACCTAAGTCTAAGATTTGTCATTTATTGTTATTAAATTTCATCTGCTTAGATCTTTTTGGATCTAGTGTGTTAACTATCTATTCCAATTTATTATCCACAAATTTGGAAAGCATGCTATCTACTCCTTTATCCAAGTCATTTATAAAAATGTTGAATATGGCAAAGAACAGATATATAGATCACTGCACTGGAGACTTCCCTCCAGTCTAACACTGAGCCACTGATGGCGACTCTTTGGGTTCACAGAGAGTAGTTTGAAACAGAGTCCAACTGGAATTTCACTTCAATATTATTTCTTCCTGGGAACTTGGGGCATCTAGGAGATGTCAAAAGCTCTGTTTCAATAAGTCTCCAGGGAAGAAGTTATTCTTTTTTTTTTTTTTTGCTTTTAGGCAATTGGGGTTAAGTGACTTGCCCAGGGTCACACAGCTAGTAAGTGTCAAGTGTTTAGTCTGAGGCCGGAATTGAACTCAGGTCCTCCTGACTTCAGGGCCGGTGCTCTATCCATTGTGCCACCTAGCTGCCCCAAGAAGTTATTCTTTCAAATCCCAAAGGAAGCTTCCGATAAAGTTCTGTACTACTGATCCCCCTATTTGAATAACTCTCCTTAGAAATGTCTCTAGGAATAAGACCCACACCTGATATTATATATCCCATTGAATTCTATTTGCATGTATGACTTAAACATTAAAAAATACTAAAAAGATGAAAGTAGAATAAAGTTTTCTCTCAATTGTGGAGGAGAGATGAATTTTTTCGATTCAACAAATAGGAAGAATTATTGGGGACAGTATATGTTCTTGATTATGTAAAAATAAAAAATTCTATACAACAAAAATTATATTAAAAGAAAAATATTTATCACAACTATGAAAGATAAAAACATATTTAAAATGCATAACATTCTGTTGAAAGGGCACAGTGGTAATTAGTCCACAATGAATAAATGGCCAAAGGATATAAAAAGACAATTTTTTTTAAGGCAATTGGGGTTAAGTGACTTGCCCAGGGTCACACAGCTAGTGTCAAGTGTTTGGTCTGAGGCCACATTTGAACTCAGGTCCTCATGACTTCAGGGCCAGTGCTCTATCCACTGTGCCACCTAGCTGCCCCTTAAAAAGACAATTTTCAAAAGAGGAAACACAAATGGCAAGCCATCAATTTACAAATGCTCAATCTCACTAATAAAGTCGGGCGAAGTAAAACAACTTTGAGATAAAATTTCACACCCATCAAGAGAAATGAAACTCTATTTTAGTAGGATTATAGAAGAACATATATCCCACAAATTTGCTGGTGGAACTAGAGATTTGTGAAATCTTTTTAGAGTTCAATCCAATAGTTACAAAATAATGGTGCCCTCTGACTCAATTGTTCCGCTGATGAAAATATACCCTGAAAGTGTTATTTGTTTAAAGAGCTGGTAGTCATAATAATAAATACCAAATGTATAAAATACTTGATATTTTCAATGTATTAACATACATTATCTCATTTGATCTTCACAGCATTTCTATAAGTTAAACAGAGAAAGCATTATTTTCCCCATTTGAATTATGAAGAAACAGAAAAGGTGTAACTTGCCCAAGGTCACACAATAATTAGTGGTAGTGGTGAAACTGGAACCTAGGTTTTCCTGACTCCTGGACTTTTTCCACTGTACCCTAATATTACCTGGAACTATAGAAGAGTAGTGTTTACTATTATTGCTAATAATAGCTTTGTTATTATTTTCTAAGCACTTTCAAGTTACTGTATGATCTCATCTTGTCTTCTCAATCATTGTGAAATGGGGGGGGGAACAAATGACATTACACCCATTTAACAGATAGGAAAACCAAGACACAGGTTTTCAAATCTTATTCTGGGAACCAGGACAACACCCCATGTTTCCTATCTCCTACCTAAAGTATACTTAAGTCATACTCAGCTTGGCTTTTGTTTAAAAGGTTTTTTTTCTGTATGGGGGCATCCAAAGCTGAATCTGTAATTTCAATGAATTTTGAACCATGCCCTCATTTCAGCTTCAGAATTTGAAATGCTCTGCCCACAAACATAAGTGGATGCATCTACTCTCTGCCTCTCAGGAGGCACTTGAACACTTGAAAACTTCCATAATACCTCCCTAAGGGACAGGAGTACAGGCATGGAAAATCTTACCGGTTTCCTGACATCTGGAACTGTCAGCCACAGGGGGAAAATGATGGGTAAAAGGAAGAGGTAAATGGCCTGTTTACTCCTTGTTTCAGGCCATTCTAGTGACAGAGGCTCCTCAGTTTCTTCTTCATCTTCCTCTTCATCTTCTTCCTCATCCTCATCTTCACTGTCATCATCACCTTCTTCTTCACCTTCTCCACCTTCTTCTTCACCTTCCTTTATATCTTCTTTTCCACCTTCTTCTTCATCTTCTCTCCCTTCTCCACCTCCTTCTTTACCTTCCTCAGCACCTGCCTCTGTCCTTCCTCCTGTACCTTCTTCTTCACCTTCTCCACCTTCTTCATCTCTTTCTTTGCCATCCCTTGCACCTCCCTCTTCATGGTCTTCACCCTTTTCATTACCTTCTTCACCTTCTCCACCTTCTTCATCTTTTTCTTCACCTCCCTCTCCATGGTCTTCTTCACCCTTCTCATCACCTTCTTCATCTTTTTCTTCTCCTTCTCCTGCACCTCCCTCTCTATTGTCTTCTTCACCCTTTTTGTCACCTTCTTCTTCACCTTCTCCACCTTCACTACCTTCTTCATCTCTTTCTGCACCTTCCCCTGCACTTCCCTCTCCATGGTCTTTTTCACCCTTCTCATCACCTTCCTCTGTACCTTGACCTTGAGTTTCACCTTCCCCTTCAATTTCATCATCATTGGCCCTTTGAGTTTCACCTTCATCTTCACCTTGAGTTTCATCTTTGTCTGGACCTCCTGGTTCATCTTCAGTTTTAGTTTCACCTTCAACTTCACTATTTTTTACTGCTTGGTTTTCAGCTTCCTCTAGAACTCCAGTTTCATCCTCAGAGTCATCTTCACCTTCACCTTCACCTTTACCTTCACCTTGACTTTCATCTTTGTCCTGATCTTTAGGTTCATCTTCACCTTTGCTTTCATCTTGATCTTCATCTTCATTATTTTCTCCTGCTTGGTTTTCAACTTCCTCTACACCTCTAGTTTCAACCTCAGAATCATCTTCATTTTTACCTAGAACTTCACCTTCACCTTCACCTTCACCTTTATCATCTGCTCCAGTATCTGGGTCCTCCTGCAAATCAAAATCAACATAGACATTGACTAGAGACCTGAATCAACACATTCAAACTCCCAATCCTGGCCTTATGGGACTTCACTTGTCATTTTAAAGCCTGAATACCAGTAGCAATCTGATCTCTTTCCAAGTTTTTTTTTCCCATGTCATCTTCTGTTTCTTCATAGGTAACATGAAAAGTTTGGGTTAAACAATCTTTAAGGTTCCTCCAGCTCTGGCATTCTGTGATTCTAATGTGTCTCATCTTTTGAAGTCTCATCTTAAGCATATACTTAGTCAATCAATAAATATTTACTGAGTACTAAATATATGCTAAAGGCATCATTTTGAGCATGTATATCCTGCTGTGGCAGAAGTGGGGTGGTCCTATCACCTGATGGCTCAGTCGATGCACTGATGCTGCTGTGATGTGATCACACGTATTTAAAGGGGACACTAAATAATAAAATATTAACAGAGGTAGTTAGAGGGTCCATTGAATAAGAATGGGAAGGGAAGTGGAAATTGTATGTCTAGACCAGCCACTAAGTTTGAAAGAAAGAGATCTTTCTCTTTCTAATGGGAATTGTCTAATGCTACCATACATTTTAAAATTTTTTAGATGTTTTAGAATTGTTTTTGAAATGCCACCCACTCCCCCAAGAGAGCACTTGAGTAGGAGCACAGTAGTCACCGATTTTGGAAAGACTTGATCAGTCACCGGGCTCTGGACCTGTGTTGGTCATGCCAACTCTACAAATGAGCTGAGGACTAGAGGCACCCCTCAGGCTCTTGGCAGATGATCCAATGAAGGTGGGAACTCTGAAGAAGAAAAGGCAATCTACTCTTGAGGACAAGAAGGAACTGATGGCATATGGATGGGCTCCAGAAAAGATAGTACCTGCCACTGAGACCACATGGCTACCATCAAGGGTAGGCCAGAATGTTAGCCTGGAATTCCAGCTTCAACATAAGTACATAGCCTGTCTAAGACTTTGCTAATGATTTTTCTGCAGTAGCAAAGCATTAACTGGGGCATGGCTAAACCAATTGTGGTGTGTGACTGTAATGGGATAATACTGTGCTATAAGAAATGGTAGATGTGAAACTTGGACTTATATGAAGTAAGTAACTAGGAAAATAATATACACAGTGACTACAACAATGTGAATAGGACAACGAAGGTCAAAAATGAATGCTGGGAAATTGTAATGACCAAACTTAGCTTTAAAGAAGAGATATGAGAATGTATTTCCCTTTCTTCTTTCCAAAAATAAGCTACTATGGATATAAAACATACACACAGTGTTGAACTTGGTTTGTTTGTTTGTTTGTTGAACTATTATTTCTATGTTTTAAAATTCTTTGTTATAAGGAATGTTAATGGAGGAATATATTGGCAAAATTCAAGTAATACAAAAACAAAATATATCAATTAAATGTGTTTTTTAAGAGCTAGATGAATGTTTCAGAAAAATAGACCAAGACCCAAAGGAACAAGATCAGGACTTCTAGGAAACAGGGTTCTAAGTCCCTCCAAGAGAGATGGAAGAGATCAGTTTGGGAAAACTTGAAGCTCAATGAAGAAATCTTGAGGGCCAATCAATTCAACAAACATTTACTAAGCATCTACTATGTGCAGGGTACTCTGCTAGGTCCTAGGGACTGACTTAGAGACGAAAAAAAAACCCTACCTTCAAACTATTGAAGAGGAGAAGAATATAATATGTGCCCACATAACTAAATGCAAGGTAATTTGAGAAGGGAGAGAGATACCCAACAACTGAGAAGGATCAAGGAAGTCTTTGGGGAGGTTTTTTTCAGTCATTTTCAGTCAACTCTTTGTGACCCCATTTGGGGTTTTCTTGGCAAAGATAATGGAGTGGTTTGCCATTTCCTTCTAAAGCCCATTTTACAGATGAGGAAACTGAGGCAAACAGTGTTAAGGGACTTGCCCAGGGTCACACAACTAGTCAGTGTCTGATGCTGAGTTTGAACTCAAGTCTTTCCGACTTCAGGCTCAGTGTTCTATCCACTGTGCTACCTAGCTGTTGTTTGTTGTTGTTTGTCCTCCATTCTCAAAGAAGACCTAACTAGTTATTTGAGCCTTGAAGGAAGATAAGAATTTTGAGAGAGAGGTAGGAGGGAAGAGTACATTCCAGGCATGGGGGAATGGCTTCTACAGATGAATGGGGATGGGAGATGGGATGCTGAGTCTGAGAACTGACAATCTGGTCTCACTGAGTCATTGAGGCTAAGGAGGGAAGTGACATGAGATGAAGATGGAGGGGACTCAGACTGTAGAGGGCTTTAAATGCCAAGCTGAAGACACCAGATGCTTTATCCTAGAAGTAAGAAGGGGCTACTGAAGGTGTTCAAGTAGATTGGTGATGGAATTAGAACTGTGCATTAGGTAGATTACTCTGGCAGTTGAGTGGAGGATGGATTGGAGAGAGGAAAGACTAGAGGCAGAGGGACCTGATAGGAGACTATTGCAATCATCCAGGCAAGAGGTGACGAGGACCTGAATTAGAGTGAGGCTGGGTAAGTAAAGGCACCCAATGCCAAGAGATGGTTGTGCAGACAGACTCAACAGCACAAGGGAATTCATTGAATTCATAGAAAGATTCAAGGATGGCTCAGTAGGATGGCTACATAGAGAATTGCCTTCCTCAGTGAGAGGCAGGATGGAGAGCACAGAATGGAAACAAAGACTAGGTGCCCCATAACTATTCCAGCCAAGCCAATCAATCTGTTGCTGGGCCATAGAAAAGAGTTGTTTGTATATAATTTCATTTAATCTGTTTTCCTGTTTTGTTTTATTTTTCCTTTTGTTGCATAGCAAAATTACTTAAAATTTCAAACTTTTCTCACCTAGGCAAGGGTGATCAGAGCACCCCCCCTCAGGTCGTAGGGCTCCTGGAGAGGTAAAAATATATAGGTAGAAAGCTGAATTTACCTGTGATGACTAATTCTTTCCTGTATGAGGCATTTTCTCACAGTGATTGTTCTAATTAGTCAGAGGAATTAGTCTGACCTGGTGAGGATGAGAGGATCCCAGGATAATGGGAAGATATTGTCAAGGTGGGACACAGAGTGGTGGAAGTGGAGCCATGGGACAGTATGACAATGTGCTCAGTGTACTTTCTTCAATGCCTCAAGAATCCATGACTTTGGAGGTGTGGGATGTTGTTCTCTTGACCAGTGCAGATTGAAAATCCCTCAGAAAATTAGCAGATGATCTTTAAAAGTTGCTATGGCCAACAATGTGATGAGCTTTTCAGAGCTCTGCTGGATCTTGGAGAACAGCAGATAATGTAGATCCGTGCTCAGAAGCTTTTCCACCTTGGTAGAACCCGCCCAAACTTGATTCCATAGCCATCAAAACCGAGGGTAATCTACCGCAATGAAACACTTACTGAGGTTGGACTTTAGTGGAAGGGGATGGACTCAAAGATAGAAAGAAAAAGTGTGTGAGCCTAAAAACTGACTCCAGGACAGCAAGTAGAGTCCTCCCTCCTGTTTGGAAGACAAGACAAGCAGCCCAATCCTCACAGCTCCATCTAAAGACACAATGACTCCAGAGGAATCACCAAGGGAGGTTTCAGTGCAGTGGAAAAAAATACTGTGTCTGGAGTCAGGGGTCAGGGGGTCTGGGTTCAAATGCCATTCTGTCTACACACACTCCACCTCCATTGATGACATTATTACCTTGGATCAACTTGGATCCCAATACCATCCCAGCCTCTCCAATGCCCACACCCTTTCTTTGCCCACCACCAACACCACCCTCAACCTCCAACCTCTAATTCCTGTAATCACAACATGTAACCAGGGAGATGGAGTAAGGAAGACATTCCTTTCTCTCCCCTCTGCCAACTCTAAAATGAGGGGGTTGGACTTTGATAATTAAGGTCCCTTTCTACTCTAAGATTCCCTGACTCTCAGTCTATCAGTCTCTCTTCTGAGTGACTGATGTGTATAACCAGCAGCAAGAAGTGTGTAACTCCAACTCTATATCCAGAGCCATCCTCTTGCAAAATGATGAAGGAGATGCCATCTCCAGCCCTTCTTCCCCAAAATTCCTCTCCAGGAATTCAGCATTGCTTCATTGCTCAAGGTCTGGCCTGTACGAGAACACAGGATCTAACAAGTGTTAAGGATTAATGTATTAACCCTTCCCTGGTACAACTGCATTTTAAAAGAGACTGTAGAGCAGTAGTTCTAAAGGTATTTTGTTTTGTTTTGTTTTGCTTTGTTTTGTTTTGTTTTTTATGTATCAAGGACCCTTTTGACAGGCTGGTGAAACCTATGGACCCCTTTCTCAAAATAATGTTTTTAATGCATAAGATAAAATACAGAGGTTTACAAAATTAAAAAAATATATATTGAAATATACTTATCGATTTTTTTAAAAGCAAGGTTTTAGATCCTAGATTAAGAACTCCTGGCCTTGGGCCAACATTTCTCTCAAAAGAATGAATCTCTAGCAGAGTTTTAGGCATCAGTGGGTGTGATTTGGTCCAGGGAAGCCTTCATCCCTTGAATGACATCACATAGGTGATTGAAGCAACCTTCCAGAATAGAATGAGCACTAAATCTGGGTTCTAATCCAGATTCTGACCCCAGCTAGTTGTGAGATGGGAACAGCAATTAGTTTTGTGATGTCATTGATATAGGGAACTCACAGGTGAGGAAACGTCCTCTACCAATGACAGTCAGCACTTCCTTTGCAAATTATGATCTTGGAAAATTTTCTAGAGCAATGAGAAGTTAAGTGACTTGTCCAGGGTCACACAGCCAGAATAAGTCAGAAGACGGACCTCCTGATCTCCCTAGCTTCCAGGTAGGATCTCTTAATGACATCCTACCTCTTAATTAGCTATGGCACTTTGGACAAATCATTTAACCAACCCCTCTAGGACTTAAATTTCCTCACCTGAAAAATGAGAGGGTTGGACTTTGATAATCTCTAAGGTCCTTTCCAGCTTGCAAATTCTATAACTATGAGTCTACCTCCTAGGACAACTATATGACGAGTCTGGGCCCAACCATACCTGCCCATCAGGGGTTGGCTCATCATGATCTTTGGCAGTGTGCACAGCAGAGGCTGGAGAAACTTTGACTGATGGGAGCTCATCGGGCTCTGCAGGTTCTTCTACTTAAAAGGACAAAACGTGAAAGGACACAGGTTTGTATTGTGCAGAGCAGCTGAAAGAATGGGGAAAGTTTGGGCAACCCCAGGGCAGACTCTGGGTTCCTGCCTAGAGTTCTCAAGGCTTCCCTTGGGGATTCTATCTTAGGAGGAAAAGGAAACCATGAAAAATGAATTGACCAATCATTATTCTTCTTGGGCCTCCCCAAGCTAGAGAACAGTTGTCTTGCATACAGTAGTTTCAGCCTGATTCCAGTCAAGGATATAATAGGTAACAACTAGAACAGGGGAAGGCCAAAAGTCCCAGAAAAAGATCTTCCTGACCACTACCCGCCACCCCAATCCCCTTAATCTTGTGGAAAAGCTTGAGCAAAAGCAATGGAGGAAGATGGTCAGTTCCACCAAATGTCAGAGAAGACAAAGAGTCCATTGTTATTATGTTGGGTTTTAAGTATTTCTGATTTTTTAAAATTGATTTGATTAGATTCTAGAATAGCACTTCCTAGGGAAAAGGGAACCCAGTAACCTGAGCCATCAGCAAAGAAAACCTGGGGGAAATGTTATACGACATATAACCTGGAAATGATCATTTGAGCCTGATAACCCAGCTTTTTCTTCCTCTTCACTGTCAAGCTCCTTTAAAAAGAAGTTTGTATCCCTAATAATACCCTTTCTTCCCTACTCACTCCTCTTTTCACCACTTGCAATCTGGCCTCCACTCCAGACCAAACCTAGATCTCTCTTGTACATATTCTTTCAAAGATCATCAATGGCGTCCCAATCTTTTCAGTCCTCATCCTCCTTGTTGCCTCTGCTGTTGACCGCTCCCTCCTAGTTTATACTCTCTCCTCCCTTAGCTTCAGAAATAAGCTCTAGGTTCTCCTCCTACTTCTCTAACCGTGTTTTTTGTTCCCTTCCCAAGTTCTTGTCTTCTTGTTCACTTCTTAACGTGCTTCCCAATGTTCTGTCCTTGGGTCTTTTTTCTGTTCCTTTTATTCTCTCTCCCCTGACAATACCATCAAGCACTGCCTCTAAGCAGAGGACTCATAAATTATATTTCTTGATCCAAATTTCTCATTACCCATAGGGTGTGTGCACCTGGATGTCCCACCAACACTTTGAATGTAATGTGTTTAAAATCTACTTTATTTTCTTTCCACCTAAACCTGCTCCTCCCAATTTCACTATATCTCTCTACATATCACCATTGATCTGGCCTCCCATGTTCCTAAATAAGTCCTGTTTGACTTCTCCATCTTCCTATTTCTTATATCCAAGTAACTACCAGGTCCTATCAGTTCTATCTTCAAAACATCCATACCCATCTATCCACTCAATTCCCACTGATAATAGCCTGCTACAGACTGTAATTACCACCTATTACCAACTATTTCAATGGTGTCATAACTTATCTTCAATCTCTCCCCCTTCTGAGGCAGTGTGCTTCTATCAGAATAATCTCTCTTAGCCATAGATCTTCTCATTTCCTTCCTCTGCTGAAAAATCATTAGTGGTCCCGTATTGCCTCCGAGTAAATGTCAAACTCAGTCATTTAATGCTTTCAACAATCTGTCACCACTCTTCCTTTCCAGATTCATTTTGTTATCCCACCCCCATCCCCACAAACTCTAAACTCCAGCCCAACTAGTTGGCTCTTTGTCTCCCAAATGCACCATGCACCCTCCAACCGCTTTGCTTTTCCTCTGGCTGTTCCCTATGTGAATGTGCTCCTTCCCTTTCTTTGCTTACTGAATTACAATCCATCTTTCAAAGCCTACCTCTAATGCTCCCATCCCCATTAAGCTTTCCATGCTCCCCCCAAGTCAGTAATGATTGCCCTCATAGAACTTCAGTCATTGTATAAAGCACCAGATAAATATCAGCTATTATTATTAAATATTTATTGAGTCAATGAACGAATAGGCCAAAGCCCAGTGAACCAAATCCAAGAGTTCAAAACATTTCACAAAGAAGTTTGTTTTTCAACTCTTTAATACACATATCACATCATGTCATGTATTATAGCTGTCTATGCTTGAGTCCTACCTCCCTCCTAGACTGTAAAGTCCATGAGTTCAGGGTTTATGTCTTATCTAATCTTTGCATCTCCAGGAGAGCTTAGCAGTAGACTTGGTATACAGTAGGTGCTCAATAAGCACTTTTCCAAACTTTAAAGCCCTATGCCTAGGAATCTATTTGTATTCCCAGACATATATAAATATATGATATTCCTATTTCTATTTTAATGTATGTATGTATGTATATATACATATATATACATATATATATATATATATTATTCACTTATACAGATGGAGATGGTACAGCTTAGTAGATAGAGTGCTAGACTTGGAATTGGAAAATGTGGATTCAGATCGCGTCTTTGACATTTATTAGCTATGGATAAATCACTTAACCTCTATGTGCCTCTGACAACTCCCTAGGGCTTTTCTGTGAAGTCTTAGACTAGTTACAACCTGCCTAAATGTAAAGAATTTCCTTCACAGAGCCTTCTATCACTGTATAAAGTGCTAGAAAAACATTAGGTATTATTAGGAGTGTACTGGTAAATGTTTAACAATGGACTATCTGGAAAAATATATCTGTACGATACACTTTAAAGTTTAATCCTCATTAATAAATATTTCTATATAAGTCTATACAACAAACAAAATAATAAATCAAGCCCTGAAGCATTAATGCTCACACTCCGATTTTACCAATCAGCTCTCTTAAACTTTTAGGAACCGGCTATAGCACAATACTGATTATTATTATAAACATATACTGAGTAAATGAATGAATGTGTCAAAACCCAGTGAGCCGAGTCCTGGAGTTCAAAACTTTAAAAGTTGGGGGGTAGGGCCAGGGGCAGGGAAATAGTTATGAGGACCCAATGTAGATCCATAGCCATGAGCAAGCCCAACCTCATAGCACTAAAAACTTGACTAGTCATTAGGTTCAGAGTATGTCACTACCCTGCCAGCAAACAGAACTGAAGGCATCTCTCAGATTGAAACTGAAAGTGTCTAGTAGAAATGTGGGACTTTGAAATGAGTATAACAGGGGACTGGCCAATACATGCTTTACCAGCCTCCACTTCTGTTCAACAAGCATTTATTAAGTTCTTGGAATGTGGGAACTAGGCACGCAAAGACAAAAAAGAAGTCCCTGCTCTCAAGGAAGTTACATTCTACTGAAAAAATACAACATAGGGGCAGCTGGGTGGCGCAGTGGGTAGAGCACCGGCCCTGGATTCAGGAGGACCTGAGTTCAAATCTGGCCTCAAACACATAACACTTACTAGCTGTGTGACCCTGGGCAAGTCACTTAACCCCATTGCCTAGCCCAAAAACAAAAATATGACATGTACATAGTTAAGTAAAACAAGGATTGTTAGGAAATAAACATCTTACAAACATTAAAAAGGAATTTTGAGCAGTCGTGGCTAGACTGTGTTTCAATTCTACCACAAATATTTATTAAACACTCTTGTGCATATACTAGGCACAGTCCCCATTTTCAAGGAGTCTGCACAGTCTAGTAGAGGAATGAGACTTATACACAAACTACAGAAGACCCTCCTGAAAGCTAGGTGACCTTAAGGAAGGAACCCAGTGACAAAGGGAAAGCAATTTGGCAGAAATTCATTTTAGACTAGCGTTTTATACCATACACCACAATAAGTGCTAAAAAGATACATAACCTAAATATAAAAGGTCACATCATCTTAAAAAATAGAGGAGGGCAGAACAAGGTATCTTTGTACAAATATAACTAGAAAGAGAATTCTTAACTAAACACAGGGTAGAACAGATCATAGAAGATAAAATGGACAATTCTGACTACACAAAAATTTAAAGCGTTTTGCATGAACAAAATCAGTGCAACTAGAATTAGAAAAGAACTAGTCAAGTGGGGGGGGAACCTTTTCAGCAATTATCTCTGATTAATTTCTGGTAGTCAAGATATGCAAGAAATCAATGCAAATATATAAGAACAAGGAGTATTCTTCACTAGGCAATAGATTAAAGGATATGAAGCAACAATTTTCAGAAGAATAAATTTAATCAATCAAAAAGCGTTTATTAAGGGCCAGCAATGTACCAAGCACTGTGCCGGGTGCTAGGGACACAGATGCAAAGAATAAAAGAAGTACATGTGTTAAGTATATATAGTACAAATATAAAGGAGTTAAATACAAGGTTTATGAAGGAGGGCAATAAAAGTTAGAGGTATCAGGAAAGTATTCATGCAAAAGATGGTGTTTCACTTTATATGAACTCATGCAAAGTGAAGTGAGCAGAAGAATATTGTACATAGTAACAGCAATATTATAAGGATGATCAACTGTGAAAGATGCAGCTACTCTGATCAAGGCAATCATCCAAGACAATTCCAAAGGACCAATGATGAAAAATGCTGTCTGTCTCCAGAGAGAGAACTGATAAATGCTGAATGCAGACTGAAGCATACTTTGTTTTACTTTCTTTGCTTTTATTGTTTTGTTTGTGCTTTCTTTTCCAGCATGGCTAATAGGGAAATATGTTTTGCATGAGTTCACATAATTGATATCAAATTGCTTGCCTTCTCAAGGAGGGGGGAAGGACAAGAGGAAGAGAGAGAATTTGGAACTCAAAGTTTTTAAAAAAGATTGTTAAAATTATTTTACATGTAATTGGGAAATATTTAATGAAATAAATAAAAATTAATTTAAAAAAGTAATGGTGCTTCCGCTGAGTCTTCAAGAAAGAGAGAGACTCTACAGAGACAGGTTAGGAGGAAGTGCATTGCAGGCACATGGCGTGGTCAGTACAAAGACATGGAGATTGGGGTTGGGGTGTCATGTGGGAGAAACAGAGAGAAGGTCAGCTGTCTAGATCCCAGAGTATGAAAGGGGAAATAATGTTAAATGAGGTTGATAAAAAAAAAAAATAGGTTAGGGCCATATTGTGAAGGGCTTTAAAAACCAAACAGAGGAGTTTACATTTTATTCTTGTGGCAAC